CGCCCCCCACCCCGCTCCCCTGCTGTGTTGGTAAACACCCCGGCAGCCTGCTGACATACGCGCGTGAATCGGGTGCAATTTTTTTTTTTTTTTAAGAACACCGACTCAATTTTATTTTTTAAACAACTGAAAGAATCGGAGAGAAATATTATACTTTTGACTTTACCATAGTTAATAACACGAGTGGAATGAAAATTATCATAAGTAATACCAAGAGTGCGTTAGAAGTTGTCGATGAATTATAGACTCGCGAAGAGAGAAAGTGATTTACCTGAGAATTTCCAAAGCATGAGTGGTATTTAATGGGACTATTCCACAAATGAAATGAAGTCCCACAAAGTTTCAAAATGCGTCAAATATGGGCAATAACTGAAAGCTACGTTAAAATCAGAGAGGATATGTTATAGTACATACGCGGTTTATTGCTATACGCGGTACGCGGTTTATTACACCAACAGAGCAATCGATACATACAGCCTCCAACGATAGATGAGTCGAAACTAATTATTGGCCAGTACAGAGGGGCCGTAATTATTGGCCGCTAAGGAGGGGGGGAATCGGATATAAAAAGCGATACATTTTTTTAAATACACCGCCCTGATTGGGGCATTTTATATCTAGTGTTAAACATATTGGTTTTAATTTCGGGAGTGGAATAGTCGATAAAAACTCGAGCCACGTGGCGGGGAAGATTTTCATGATGGAAGTTTGAAGGGGTATTTGTTAAGACTAATCCAAGAATAATTTGGAGTATATTTGTAAGAAAATTACGTTAAATAAATATAAATTTCCTGCTGCAAGAATATGCAGCTTGTACTTGACCATATAGCCCCTCATTCCTTGTGGCTGGTTCTTCTTGTATAACAGTCCAACTGAAAAAAAACTGCACGTCGAAGTGATAAAACCAGAGCCATAATTCTCCAGGCATAAAACGCGCGGGTAATTCGTCTTTAAGTGGTTCACAGAGGAAGAATGCTTACACCCTATTGGTTTAAATTTCATGATTGGAGGTAGGAAAAAAAACCTTCTGAGCTTCCCCAGTTCCCATTTAATTTTAGTTTGTTTGTTTTTTCTCCTCAGAACGCAGGATGATGACACAGCATTTTCTTGGCCCTTCGTTGATATACTCGTGTTCGTCGAACATTAAGTCTACAAATTTTTGTATACGCATCTTAAATCTGCGTTAGGATGCCTGATGATTATCTGTCACTAAACCCCACAAATATATCACTTATGTTTAGTTATTCTTTAAACTCGAATTAATTAGTTCATTGAAGTTTGTTCATTAATTCAAAGTTTATTGAACTTTTAAATTTTTTATTTTTTTATTTTATTGTCTTGAATGTACATCAGACAACATCAATTGTTCATAATGATAGTGTCATAATAAAGATGGACGCAGTAATGAGTGCGTCATAAAGGAAGAGGAAATATCGAAGGGACAGCAGGAAAAAAAATTAATATACAATATAATTAGCAATGTACCGTAAACAATATTCAATTAAAATTACATTCCTATATTTGAAACGATCACTAAGAATTAAATATTTGCAAGACCAATAAGCAATATAAAGAGTGTCATTACTTCAGATAATAACACTGCAATTTTTGTTTTATAATCGATGTAGGTACTAAAAATGAACTAGGCAAAATATTCAATTCGTTTTCATTTGACTATTATGTTACTTTCAGTTTTTAAGATTACACTCTTACTCAAAATAACTACGTATGCTTGTGCCCTTTCCCATAGAGTGGAAATGTGCTAATAGAGTGGAAATGTGCAAATGAGGAACCTTAGCGATTAAAAGAAACAAAAGAACTGGCCGAGATGGACATACGATGGTTACTAACAACTACAGAGTATTAATATATTTTGTTCTATTCGAATCTTGAGAAATATTTATGTGGAAAACTTTCTAAACAATACAATAATTTGAGTCTGAATGATGGGTACCGGCATGTGAGTCTGGCTTACGTAATTGGTTGCAATCTTCAAAGAACGATGGTCATTAAAAAGATTGAAATAGCAAATAAGGTAGAAATGATGCAGTGGATATAAATACAGCATTTTTAAACGAAATTTTATTTGATAGCTGGGGTGGGTTAAATATTTAAGGATTTAATTTGCCGAGTAAAATTTACATTCCAACTTTCTTACCGGGGATCTTTACTGAGCTTCGTTGTCACGACGTCGTGTTTCTAAAACACGATCTCACAAAAACACAGAGGGGCTCTCAATAAGAAACTGTGGAAACAATTGTGGAAACTCCCTGTCCCTTATTCTCGGCATCAACAATTCCTTTCGACAAAAAGTGTTTTCATTCTGGAAAATGATGTCATGCCCAATAATTTCTGACGATTTTAATTGGCATTCAAGAACAGAAAATATCATTCAAATTCTATTAAATGAAACATATGTAAACATATCGTTTCAACCTTACGATTCCTGACAAAACTAAAACTACAACCACTAATCTACAATCTCTTCACAATTAGTTACCCATTGCTCTATATCAATAGTCATACTTATGAAACAAAATATTTTATTGAATGGTTTGGACATTGACCTAAATTTTATACAGGAACTCCCGATTAAAAAGCAGTAAAAAATAACATTTTGATCAGCGAGTGATTAGTAGTAATACATATAAGTTAAAATCAATCTTCACATTAAGTCGTTTTTGTGAGATTTGCCATAACAATGTTGTCAGGATAAGGAATAAAGAATAAAACGATTACTAAAAATGGAATTGAAACTATGAAAGAAATGTGTTTCAAATTCAAAAATCTTGAAAATATATTGAGACGAATATACCGTGTTAATTAAAACAATATTTTATCTGACAAGTTCTGATACAAAACTTTAAAGTAGCTTGAAAAGAAGCCTTCAAACACAGACTGCTCTGTTCCTGTTGGAGCCTGCTCAGAAGCGAAATGCCACATCTCTGCAAGTCGAGACATGCTCCGCCGATCACGTCCAGTGACCAGTTCCTGGGGAACTCCGCGTTTTCTCGCCTGATTGTACGATAAAAAGATTGGAAGCTCTTCAATCGCTGTGGGCAAATTTTTTCTCGGCTCGTAGAGTATCGTACACACACCATCAGTCCCTTGACTGAATTGGTCGCTTGGTACAGACGACTTAGTTTCGGTAAAGAACAATTATTCTCGTGGATGTAAGAGCTGGGTCTCTTCAAAGAACACACGTAATTACTGCGTGTAGAAATGAAATTTCTAAGAAGAACGAAAAGTTACACATGGGAAGATAGATTTAGATGTTAAAAAGAAGTCGAAACGTAGAGTCTCAAAATAAGATTCATGGTGTATCCGAATATGCGGCATCAAGTACAAGGAATGGTTACCGAAGCTAGCCTTTCAATACTATCCATGAGGTAAGAGAGATAATCCTTCTCTCTCGCTCAAGACCTGTAACCTGAACCCAGCGTTTTATTATCAGTTACTCCACTGGAAAATTCGCAAAGATACAATTATTCTTATTTAAAATTCCATTTTCGACGCACTCTTTCTCATAGGACAAACACGCGAGGACTGTCTCCAGTTTCCTCCGCGCGGGGATCCCCGATAACAACAGCTGCTCCGCCTTCAGCCGAAAGGCTGAGGAGACCTTTTTGTTCCGAAAAGGCAGGGGCTTCATCTGCACACCACTCAGAGCGACGCCTCTGTTGGTAAACACGGCTCCTGCGTCCGGCGAGGCAAACACTCGCCCCGAGGCAGTGCAGCGGAGGGGGCAACACGCGTGCCACTCGGGGACGAATCGAGACACTTGAAGCCCATCTGTGCGCGGGCGAACGAAACAATCAGCCAGGAAATAAATAAGTATGCAAAAAATGAGTAAATACTACTACGAATGTTGTAGTGTATGAGCGCCAGTTTCTCGTGTTTTGTTTTACTTGCGTTCGTTGCTAAACGGGTATGTGCTTTGTTTTTATGAATAAATGTATTTGTCTAAGCTGCTCAGTTAAAACGATTTACTGCCAATACCCTACAAATGTAATACAGTAAATACACCAAATAGGTAAGACATTATGTTCCTTTTTAATTTATAACTTTTTTGAAGGTAAAGAGAGAAGGAACAGAGAAGCTCCAAGACGAAGAGAAAATCCTGTGCTTCTTTTGAAGCTTCTTTTAAGTTTCGTATCAAGACATGTGTTAATCGAAAGAATATTTTTTTCAGGCAATATATTCGTCTCTTCGAAATCCATTAGAAAACAGTTTTCAAATGGATTTTTTAAATGCATAATGTTCTCCGCTTTTGTGAATTTGTAGGCATTCAGTGAATGTTTCGTTAATTATTTTTCTTTCAAATCTTTTCATTTACCGTATTGGTTCTTAACGAAAAACACGTGTGTACATTCCGCAAATGAGTTTAGTCTTTCGGAGCTTTGTTCGGTTCTTGCGCTTCATTTCGAGGAGGAGGTAGCAGCAGCCGCAGTTCTAGGTGTGAATCGCGGCCGTGGAGCGGCCTTTGTTTACACGCCTGGCGGTGGCGGGGGCGGGGCGGGCGTGCAGAGGGCTTCGCCGGCGCCGTGAAGCAGGTGGCGCGCGTGCGTCGGCGGCCGGGCGTCGAAGCGGTGTCTCCTTGGGGAGCCTCGCCGCTGCCTGCTCGGGCGGGCGGGCGCGCTGGCTCGTGCCTGCGCCGCCTCGCCTCCCGCGCGCGGGCCGCAAGCGGTCCTTGCCCTCCGCCGTGGGTTCATGCCGGGGCGCGGACGCCCGCCGCTTGCTCGCTCCGCCTGCTCGCTCGCTCGCCGCTCGCAGCGCCCGGCCGCGCCGCCCGACCGGCACGCGCGTGCGTGGCGCCGTGCGTGCGTGCCCGCACCGCACGCGGCCGCCTGCGTTTAAAATCCTCCCGGGCGCGAGCGGGCGGGCGTCCAGGGCGCGGCCGATGCGGGGGTCGCGCTCCCGACTCTCGCTATTTCTGCTCCCGCGCTCTAGGAGTCCCCCCCGTATGTGTGTGCCCCTCCCGAAGAAGACGCCTCCGCGAGCAGCCGTTGCACCCGCTGGGACCGCCAGCGCCTCACCGCGGCCGCCCCGACAAACCACTTCTACACCGAGTTCCTCCGCTCGCCGCCAGAAGCGCTAGTTCAGTTTACCCGCCGGCCGCGTGGAGCGCCACCGGACGGACGGAGCAGCGGCGTGGGAAGGCGCGACGTACGAGCGTTACGCGGCGATGGACACGCCTCGCTGTTTGCTAACGCGCGATTCATCGGTGTATCCGGCGGCGGACGCGGACACGCCCTCGCGCCGAATGGTGCGTGTTTCCGCTTCCGGTCCGCTACGCCATCTCCGGTGCCGGTGCCGCTGAAGCGCGCTCTGCGTGTCATTGCGCAATCTGATCTTCCGAAAGAGATTTTTTAGGATGCGCGGTGACAAACGAGCACTTCCGCCATGTTGTCATTTGTGCTTGATGGTGTATCCGACAAGTGTTTCGTTTGTAAAGGGCTCTTTTATTACTGCGTTTATCGGTTTTTTATGCTTGTGTTGATGAATAGATAGCGTTGGACTAAACGTATGTACTAGATGCAGAGAACACTTGTAAAACTCATGCCAACGTGAAAGGCAGAAAATAAATGAAGCATACATAGATATTTTACTGTTTTTGTTGTTATTGTTTTTTTAAATAAAAGCCACGTGTCTAGTAGTGCACGAGTATTCGTGATTCAGCGAAATTTACATGGAGATGGATCACAGAATATAACGACATTAACAAATGTTGGTAAAATGTCAGGGTTCAACTTTTTTATTGTTATATAATCAAGGCACATTTAAATTTAAAAGTTATTTTATTCTTTTGTGAACTCGTGTTTTCTATTATGTTTCTCTCGCGTTCACATTGCGATAGAGAAATGAGAATCCAGAACTATAAGGCAAGTGGTATTCTAGCAATACACGTTTCCTAGTGCATAGACGATTTACACTCCGTCCTATTCCTAAGAAGCTAAAAACAGTTTTATTCACGTAAATTGTTTCTGTCGCTCTAACTGGCAACAAATATTTTATTGTGTACGATGTAGAGAAAAATGATGCGAACATATATTGTGATCCCATTTTTGTGAGAAGAATGTCTTTTAGGACATTTTTTCTAACAAAAGCGCTGTATAATGACATACTTACTTACGATTACTTACAGTAACCGACTTATTTATAACACGTGATAGACGAAACAAAGAGGACCGTTTATAACTCAAAGCAGACTTTTTGGTGCCAAGACTGACAATTGAATGGTTAGGTTCTGCGAAAGTCCAAGTCACAGTTCTTTGTTAATAGTAAAGAAGTAAAACTGTGAAATCTGTTATTTTTACTGCTTTTTGACTGAATAAATCTAAAAATATAAATCTATTAACGTGCATTTTATACTGTTCTTTTCGCAGCCTGAGAGCAGAATTTCGAAAATCGCAATATAGAAGCATGGTTTTTGGCTCAAAAATGTATTTGCATTTAATTTTTTTTTGCGTTGGAGGCTAAACAAGTTTTGCCTGGGCAAACCTGAGAAAACGATCGACAAATGATTGTACAAACACACATTGTACGTTTTTTTGATAAACTTCACGGAGGTGCCCGCGAAGCGTGTACTGAAATATCAACATAAGTAACACATCTTAAATACCTATCCGCCGCCTACGCACATAATATACAAATAGTAAAATGTTACTAGTGTATAGTATTCTTCGTAGATGTAGTTTTGAGATGTGTAAAATAACATTACATTTACATTTTTTACAATAAAGCCCCAATATAAAGGTTATTTATTTGTATAAATAAATCGATTATTTTTAAAACCCCGCAAGAAAGGGAATTGTAAAATTGTGGGAAAACAAGAAAAACTGAATAATAAAGTTCATAGAGAACTTCGGTTTCTTTTTCTCTGAAGCATCACTCTTGATTAAGAATACCTTGGTGACTTGTAATTTACACGTATCAATACTACAATAGTCACTGGACGTATTTAAAAGTTTATGACTTACGGTATTTCAAAAACTAATAAGGAATGTTGTACCTAAACATGTAAGTCAATGCACATTGCAGGTTCAGTTTGTAATTTCACACATTTATTACAATATTTTGTGAAATGACTATGTGCATCTACATCAAATATGATTTATATGACAGAGACAGTTTGTTTAAATATGTGTTTCTATCATAGTAAATAGGTATATTTACCTATTGAACATCCCTTTTAACCTATCTCTCTGCCAGTGATATCACAGGCATACAAACTATATACAAACATATAAACATACATACACACACAGTCATACATACCCTGCAAGTAATTGACTTACAGATTCAAAACCAGACGAAACCAAACCTTTGCAGTGTCCTCACACCTATTCTATCCATCTGATTTACGGGATTTACGCATGGATTTACGCTGTCTTTCAGCTTCTATTTTCTCACAAAAAGCGAAAAAGCAAAAGAGAGTGACTTACGAGGTTTTAAAAATAACCGATTGAAAAATGATTGTAGTCGTAATAGGTTTTTAAAAGGACCACATAAACAGTAGCGTAGCAATACCATTCCTGTTTCTGGAGAACACAAAAGGTGAGGGTCATTGGCGGATGCAGAATAAATTGTAATAGAACTGAAGGGAAATTTCAAATATTTAAGGAATACAGCTATTGATATTTAATGACATATTACGAGAATTTTCTGCAAGTGTGTTTAAAATATTTTCAGTTCTTGAGGTATGTCAAGGGTGTATATGTTTTGAACATAGCCTGTACATGGCGTCCTTTCCGCGGGAACACAAATGGCCATCTCACTCCCCAGCCACCTTTTTCAAGAACTATTTCAACCTTTACTCTGTTGCTGCGGAGTTTTCTACATCCACAGATACAAAAATAATATTTAAACGTGTTTAATGTATAGAGATACGTTATTACTTGTTATTAGTTTCAATACAGAGCTCGATATTCACTGCATACCTTACGTGGACCACAAGGACCGTGGTGACGAGGGAAATACGTAAACAATTGAATATTGCTACACGTTCTCTTACGGAGGTTATTATGAAAGAGCAGTATGGGAGGGAAATATTAACTGACTCACCGTGTCAAGTTAACAACTACTTAACTAGTAAATATGAAAAATTAAATTTAGACAAAAAATAAATTATGGTAGTACCACGGGCGTGAGAGACTTCGGGCCGCGGGCTTTCTGTCATGATCGATCATTGGAACCCTTACAACGCCGTTGATGCATAAATAACTATTATGGACAGGCCTGGCTATAAGAGAACGAAGCGATTACGCATGGCAAGTGATTAAGCATTACGTTTCCAATTATTTACAAACATTCGATAAGGGATTAAAACGAAATTATCACTAAGGGATAGGAACAGTTCTGATATTACAAGCCCTAAACGATAAAACAGTACACTTTGCCTAAAGAAAGATAGGTGAAAAAAAAACGCGCATGGAATACATTCCCTATTTTTATGCGATAATGTTAAATCTACATATATAAGCCACAATAAAAATACTACAAAATACTACAAACCGATAAAATTGGACATAGGCTTAACATCCATGCACACTCGCAGTGAAGTGGAATTTTGCGTTACACAGTAACTACGTATTTGAAATGAAATTTACAGCAGGCTGATTTATAACATTGAATTACATTACGGCTGAGTTGCCTCGGCGCATCAACTGACGTCACTGCTGCGCCTTTGATAGGAGGTTCTATGGTTTCGAGTCCCGTAGAATATTCAATTCCAGTTACATAGCTAGGTCGAACTCAGTGGGAGGAGAATACTTCTAGTAGCCGGCTGTTCTGATCGGTAGTTTTCCGTGGTTTCTCCGATTAACACCAGGAGATCGCCGAAGCGGGACCCTAACAAACTACATTCTGCGCCCGATCTTTCCTTCCTCATCTTTATCTTATCCTCACCCCTCCTCATCCTCATCCTCACCCCTCCTCATCCTCATCCTCACCCCTCCTCATCCTCATCCTCACCCCTCCTCATCCTCACCCCTCCTCATCCTCACCCCTCCTCATCCTCCCCTCCTCCTCCTCTCATCCTCACCCTCCTCCTCCTCATCCTCACGCCCTCTCCTCCTCTCATCTCACCCCTCTCCACCCCCCCTCATCCTCACCCTCCTCCTCCTCATCCTCACCTCCTCCTCCTCATACCTCACCCCTCCCCATCCTCACCCCTCCTCATCCTCACCCCTCCTCATCCTCACCCCTCCTCATCCTCACCCCTCCCCATCCTCACCCCTCCTCATCCTCACCCCTCCTCATCCTCACTCTTAAACGCACTACTCTGCCACAGATGTCGGGAGCTTAGAGCTTGTCCCAGCTGGGGCGGTACCTCTCTGGTTGGGAAAATCCCGCTATTCGTCATATCTCTCCATCCAACGGGCGTCGATCTCTCCATCCAACGGGGAAGAATACCACCAGCTCCCGTGATAAAAACATGCACTACACGTATGGGACTAATGGCCACAACAGTTGACGCAGTTGGAAAAAAATATAAATTAGTCAATCAATAAATTTACATTGGGAAAATAAACGCCTTAAACTTTTTAAAAGAAGTTTCATATTTGTAAATTTGATAATTTTTAATTAGATTAGAAACATACGCAAAAATGATCAGTTCCCCACAAGTATACCGAGGCGCGACTAATGGCACCATGCAATCCAAGAAAGGTGAGTGTGTGAGTGGGGGAGGGGGATGTCTACCCCAGAGGGAAAGTCAAGCGGACCCAAGTTACGTTATGCTATACGCAGGACGTTACGTTATTATAATGTTTTGGCAGGAATACAATATGCAGTGCATTTGGATAAAGCACTGGTATAACACAACGGAGTCCTAACAACTCGTGATAAATAAACATGGCGTCATACGTATTCCAATGGTGTTGCGAGAATAATCAGAAATCCTGGTATACAAAATGTCTCACGACGTGTATTTGCAGATGGTTCCTCATACAAGATGTATTGGAACATGTCAAATTGACCAGTCGTGCATGAAAGTTCATTTTATACATGTATCTGTGAGTAAACGCACTTAACTGATACTCGTACACAATTCAAAGAGTGAGCGCTAAATACCATTTGATAAACTGTGTCGCAACCTCTATGCTGCAGACAATGGATTGGGCTGTCTTCTAGGCACAAGAGATAAGAATGGTTTGCACACGATG